AATATATATATATATATATATATATATATATAGTGAGATCCGTTCCATACATGAGTCTTGTGTGATTAACGATATAGGAAAACACTTTAAGAATAAAACCATTGTCACCAATGCTCTGGCTGGATGTTTCCACACCCGAATCATTCCCTGTACAAACTGCAACTATTTATTCAAGTCCAACCTGTGTGTTTAAACGGGGCTAACCCACGCCATCCAAATGCCACAGATCGCAGACCATTTGCACGCGCATTACGCTTTCAAACCTGATCCCAGAGATGATGTGACGTAGATGTGCGGAATGGAATGCACCTGCGACCCCATCCTAAAACATCTGTCATAACGACAAAACTGTCGTTGTGCAGGTAAGGACTTTCGGACAAATGCTCAGATGAAGAGCGGAATTGCCCCTATTAACCAATCGATAATGGTCTAGTGATTTGTAAATAATTCTCTTGCGTATGAGCTCAAATATGTTGACATTAAACTTACCTTGGATGTTTAAACTTTGCATGTGGCCGCATGTAAGAACTCTTTGGACTATTTGTAGTCCACCCTTGCATCTCAATAAAGTCATGGAAAAACTGGGTGGAGAGTTAGTTTTATTATATTACTTCGGTCTATCAACGATACACAAGAGCTCAAAGGTTTTTGGGGTTGTTGTGCTCCATGATCCACTTTGAAGTAATCTGTGTTCTGAGGACACCTTTCTCACAACCAATATCAAGTAGAAGAACGTTGTATCGTATTTACTAGTCTGCGATCTACTACTCCAGATATAATGTAATGTAAACATAAAAGGATTCAGAACTCTACCATCAACTCCTATTTCACTGAATATATTTAATCTGTTAAAACACACAATATAAAATTATGAGAGAATTCATTAGAATAGTTCTATTCTGTGGAGATTGGTCCACAAAGAAGTGTGCAATTATAAAAGCTCTGGTATGTTTAAATAAAGGGACATGAACAAACGACCTTGAAATCTATTCGACTGTTTGTGGATCCTCCAATTTATGTATCACAGCTTGCATCTCCACAAGGATAAGATTGCTGCTGTTTGTTCGAATGAAATTTTGTCTTCAGTCCCATTATTTGAGAAAAACGATATTCTTCTCGGAGCCCAAAGCTGGTTACCTCCTGTTAAGCACAATACGGATTCGCATAGATTAAAGTTGGTTGAGACAAAATTTGCTCAAATTTAACAGAAGCTATATCCAGAAGATACTCTAATTATCATTTCAGGAAATTCTACTATCTTTGATGATAAATTATCTAATGAAATACATGAAAAAATGCGACAAAACTTTCAACGAGTTGACACAGGTATCCGAAATGGTAGTACCCTCTCCCTTAACAAATTTGAGACGATTAAATCACGGTTACTTGTGAGCAGTAGTTTGGGATTATCCATAGTGATTCGAACTGACTATACTTTGGACTTCAGCTTCACGCGCAAGCCTCAGTTCATCCGGTCAAACATACACTTGGAAGCACCAGAATTGAGTTGTGCTCTTGGTAGAGCTTATCAGTAGTGTATATCCACCTTCCCGTTCGGGTATTAAACTCTGAATCCATCCCATGGAAGGAGTGGGTAACCAATGTGCCAGTCAGCTCATACCAGGGCTGAACCAAATTGCCAATTCATATTTATTCAGCGGTCAGTCAGTTCATTTTGACCCGACAGAAACGAAGGGAGATACGGTTATCTGTTAACTCCGATCGAAACATCCCACCAAGTCAGATCGTCCATGAGATTAATGGGCTGATTGACCACAAACCTACTACCACTGAAGACGACACTTGAAAAAAAACATGAATGGGCAATTCGGTTCAGCCTTGGCATGAGCTGGTTGGCACAGTGGTAACACAAACGCCTTCCATGCGATGGGTCCGGAGTTCGAATCCCGAATGGGACGGTGGATATGCACTACTGATGTATGGCATATGGTAGACTGTAAGAGCTGAGAAATGTGCGTGAACGGAACCGGACCAATCGACAGTTGAGGCGATTTCACAATGCAATATATCTCTCATTAACTTTTCGGTGAACAAGGGGACGTCCATTATAGTGTAGTCACACTTGTGTAGTTGTTTCATTAAATTTAAAACTCATCCGCCGTGAACTTTTCCTTCAAATTCGTATGGGTTTAATATCAGACCCAGTGAGTTATCGATTATTCGCGGGAACAACCCTAGTTGGCTCGCAGAAGTTTGATTCACGCCAACATGATTCACGGTTTTTAATGTTTCACTCACAGTAGTCGCTTGTTTGACGCGTGTTTAATTGTTCTTTTATACAACAATGCACTTGAATGTACTCGAACAACAATCTGAATATGCACACACGTAAATGTTGATTGTTGGTTGGAAATCCGGGACGAGATTTGCGATGATTGAATGGAACTATTTCTGTTTGACAGGGCTTTGTCGCTGCCACACTAAAGTCATACGGAAAGAACGGGAAAACGGCTGCGGTAAGTCGTACCACTACTTATATTCGGCTATCATTTTTAAGAATAAGATTTAGATGCCAGGTGCAAGCATCACATTCGATCATCTTGAATCAAACCCAGTTTAGAGTTTCCTCATATCTGAAGTATTGACTCATGTTAAGGTATTTCTAAATATGAAGGTTGAAAGAAATTTTGCACGAATGGATGAAAGGTAACAAATAAGAAATTTCCTCTACTAATTTTTACGCATTCAATGGTACATTTTGGTGTTAAAAGCGGTGGATCACCTGTTACTAAAGTGAATTGAATAAGTACGAGAGCAAAATTGCATAGTGAAACTATATATATAGCAGATAAAAAGGGTTCACTAAAGTAGTCAAATTTCTATTTAGCTTTCGCTTCTCTCTTTCAACGAACTACGTCACCGAAATGTGTGCTAATTGACTACTGAACTGTAAATTTCAACAGGTTTGTTAGCGGTCAAAGAATGTTTCGCTATGAATTCTCAGAACCTCTTTCCTTTATCCGTTCAAACTGCCTGTCACCACATTTTCACACTACGAAAACAGTCGGAATCCACAATGAAACTGTAAGCAGTTACTGACTGGTACTACCAGGTGCGCATATAAACTACTGAGACACCAGGAATGAATGATTATTTATTTGATGTAGTGGGCTCGTTGATAGTAGATATTAATAATGCTCCAAATGAATCTTTGACCGAGTTATAATACCCACTCATACGGTGCTTCAAAACTTTCAACTTCAAATCAACTTTGAACTATACATGTCCCACTAAGAAACCCTTGTTTGCCCTCTAAACAGCATAGACACAAATTTTATTTACACTACGAAGGTATTCTCATCTCCAGCTGTAAAATTATCATGGGTTGTTCGATATTCAAAAGTATAAATGCCCCCCCCCCAAATCATCCTTTTATGGTGTGTGATCTGCACATTAACTTGTAGATATGTTTCCGTAACTCAGTAGATAGCAAACACATTGCTGAAGGTCACGCTTTGTGGATACAAAAGCTCTCATGGATTTCAACTTTTTATATCAAGAATACTTCAGAACATCCAAAAGTGGTGCACGAGAATGTTTTTTGAAGACATTTTGAGCTTACACTGAATTTTCAGTTGTCTTATCCAATTCTTGTAACAGAAGAAAACAATTTCGGCTACAGTCTGCTTCCCTTTTTCTGTTAGGCGAGCTAGGGTTTAGTATATCTTGAAGATCTGATTGGGGAACTCTAAGATTGTACAAAATCAGTCTAGCTAACGACCTTAAAATAAATTACAGTTATAAAAAGAGAGGTCCTCAAAGGGAGGCCAAAATAGATACAAGTGTTCTTATTTGTTCCACACGAATGTACGGACATCTCACTTTCTGTGAGTCCCAAATCGTGAGAGTTCACTGATTGGCCACCTGTTTAATGGAATCTATTCCCGGATGATTTGTGTGGTTCCGGCAAAGAGAACTCGACGGCTATTTTGTCCCGGTCGGGGACTCACCTGTTGAGTGAATCATTTCTGTCTTTCCTTCGGGGCTCTAATGATGAATGTTCGGGGCGGGTGCCAAGACCCGTATGTCATGAGGCACTGCTGAGCCAATAGGACACGCGTTCTGATGAAAAGGATTCAAGACGCTATAATGCTTACTAATAAGTGGAATAGATTGAGTGACGAGCAGCCTATATTTTAGATCGTTTGATGCAGCAAAGTTTGGTCACAAAGAAACAGATTTACATAAACAGGTGAACTGGAGTACAAAAAACATCATACCCCCTAAATTCTGGTTAGTATCAAGAGTCAATATCTTTGTTGGGTGATGACGAAACAATTTATTCTGCAACTAATAGCTCACCATTTTTTCTTGAGTACCAATATTAGGCATATGAATACCTGAGAGAAGAACCACATTATCACAACATCCAATAAATTCACTACCTACGTTGATAATCTTGGACAATGAGAATAATTGAAACCTTCCTTGCATTATCGTCCTTTGCCTTTTTATCAAATTAGCCCGTCGGATTTGTAAGTTTTCAAACTCGTGAACAGGCAGAACAAGCGTTGCAGCAGTTGAAGGTGAGTTGAGTGTANNNNGCTAAACCCGGTCAAGTGACAGCTTTCGTGACACCTAACCGTTGCACGTGACCAACACTAATGACTGCGTTTTATTTACAGGGTTTGCGAATGGATCCGTCAAATAATCTCCAATTACGTGTTGAATTCGCACATACAAATATGCGTCTTACTCAGGACATTTCTGCTTTAGAAAGAATGAGTGGTTATCCGTCGACAGGATTTTCCAACGGTTTGTCGCTTCTTCCAGGAATAAATGGGCTTGCTGATCTTTCGCTATCCGAAATGGCAACTGTGCCATTGTTTTATTTTCCGACAACAGCGAACTCTCCTTTACTCTTCGATCTGGCACCTCCATCATTGATACCGCCAACACCTCCTCCTCCGCTTCCACCAGCACAACTAAGGCCACCACCACCACCACCACCACCACCATCTCCGGTGCCTGTACACTCCACCCCAGCAGGACATAATTTCTCAAAGCATTCTACCTCGGGTGGAGTACCGTGGCCACCATTTTCACCAACACTTGATCGACAGGCATCGTATGCAATGCCCATTGATCNTATCCACTCCATGTTCTCCCAACTGTGGTTTGGATAAGAGATCCGCATGGACCAACGGAGGAACTACAACACTAGGTGGATCTAGCGGTATTGATAACGTTGATGCAAGAAGCAATCAGTTGTCGTCAGAACAATCGGCTTTTCCAAACACAACGACCATGCCCGCAATCACCGGAAACAATTCAGGTTTTCGTGTCCTCTCCTGGCCCGTTATGCCTGCTGCCGGCGCACATTGGTTTTTCCCTCGTGCATTACCACCGCCTGTAGCGGGACTGGAAAGGCTGGCCCCCGCCACCCAACAGTTGCTTATGATGACCTCAATGGAGAAACCCCTAGGATCGTTTTATGATATCTCTGGTGAACTTGATGGTCTAATGCAGCCACCTCCATCCACAGCATTTGTACCCCACATTCAGGTGTCCAATGATGAGCTATCGAAGTTGGACAAAACGAATGAATCAATGCCGTATTTACATCTCATTGATCGTGAATCGATGCCCGGCTTACTTACGGATCCAGCAATTGGTCCACGATCATCCCAAATAGATACGGGAACTGGGTTTCCCTACCTTTCAGCATTGATTCAACCGTAAACCCATTCTTCTGGTACGTACTGTTACACAGAATAACAGTTTACCCCTTTTCATTTCATTTTCTTGCAAAGTTAGATTGATGTTGTGCCAAGTTAAACCCTTAAGAATCTATGGGTCGTCTTGTTCAGTAAGCCGATAGAAAGAGGTGCAAGTCTTGGTATTAGCAGAAATTCATTCATGTGATTCCTTTCAGTTGAGTTCTAGAGGTTCAGACCGAAAGCGAACGCTTTACCACAAACTCTGAAGCACCCCCGTGTTGGAGTGATTTGTAAGATTGTTAAAAGTAAACCTGAATTTAGGCCATATTCCTGTTGAACGTTAAGTTACCGGAATAATGGTTTATCTTTTGTATTTTCTAATGTATTTTGTTGTATACAGATCAAGGGAAATAGATAATGAAGTGCTGAAAAGCGTTGAACAGCTGTTTTTTACCTTGTTTGACCCGGTAGGAATTATGAATCAATCGAACGGACTGGAACTCGAGCAGGGGACTTGACAGGTTGAACGCAAACAAAGTATTCACTCGACCACCAAGCATTTAATCAGGCTGTTTAACTCTCAGTCTACGTACGACATAACGCATGTGATTTTAGCATGACTGTTTGGAGTATTTCGTTTTCAGGTTTTTTCTTCATTTTCACTTTCTTTTATTGAACACATAATGATACAGATTTCAGGAAGGACGAGGCGATTAGTCAAAGACCTGGCATACAACATACGCACAATGAGGAAAGTCAGGCTTTGCTGATGGTAGGGATGGAACACACTTCCTCCGGGGAGATAATTTGGTGACTTTATCACCTAGCTCCAACACCGTCCATTTATGCCTGAAACCAATCTGATTGTCGGAGGGAAATAGTGAGGAAATGGATTAAGCGCAACTTTTGAGCAATTGAAACATTCCTCAGGTTTACATAGAAATCTTTAGGAGTCGATAT